ATAACGGATAGCTTGTATATAATATGATTGTATAAACAAGGGTAATACAAAATTGCTTGACACACAGTGGCCATGAGACACCTCATATGTCGTTATCGTTACAATGACAATAATTACGTATTTGTATGAAAACGAATTATAGTTGTTACGATTAGTTACATCGGAAATCGTTAAAACCGATTCTATTGTTAGCAGGTTAGATGCGAAAGAATAATTTGTTCCCTACCTTCAGATGCTAGGTACATTTAAATACATTTATTATATGTGGAGATGTGGGATCTCTCTGGATCTTCTACCGCATTTACCATGGACAATATTCAGAGGAGTTGTTCGAACTAATAACTCCAGCTGAGTTTCATCATCGGACGTCGAGGCAGAATACAAAATACCAATGTTTGCCGCGCACCACCGCTGTGGAACCAGCCGCCCACTGGAGTATTTCCGACCCAATTCGACTTAGGGTCCTTCAAGAAAAGAGCGTACCAATTCTTAAAAGACCGGCAACGCACTCGCGAGGCCTCTGGCATTGAGAGTTTCCATGGGTATCACTTAACATCAGGTGAGCCTCCTGCCCGTTTGCCCCCTGTTCTATAAAATAAAAAAACAAGAAACACCACAAACAAATCTATACGCGCCTTAGTGAAAACAATAGCAAAACATGCAGACGTAGTATTGCAGGACGATGAGATTGAATTTGTTAACCATATACAGCCGAAGCCATCTATGCTGCAGCTGGTAAGAATGACAGGCTCAAGCCGATCAGTAATAGATTGGACATTGACAATCCGACAAACTCTCCGATAGTCAAAAGGAAATACATAGCTGGTATTTGGGGGCATCGGCCCCGAGATGTGATATAGAAGGTATATACATATAGGAGGGTACTTGAGCCTTGTAGAGTCACTCCAAAGTTCACGACCGCTCAAAAGCGATTAAGAAGTAGTCTGTCACTAAGGGATGCAGCATTGTAATAGAGGAATTTGAATCCATCTAGTAGTAAGTTAATTCGTTACATAAAATATTTATGTTTATGTTCATGTACTTAAATGATAAAAATCTCTAAATTTACATCTAATACGAGGCGTAGCAACTAGCAAGAGATTTCCGAAACAAGTGTTCGGAGGTCATCAATTCGAACGATTTCTTGTCCTCTACCATCGCCCGTGGACCGATCTGCAGGAAGATGCTCTTGCGCTTGCAAGGCTTTCTTTGTGACTTGGCACTGACAAAGAAGATCTTAATACGTTCTTCATACCACTTGTATATATCTGTTTAGTTACAAAATATTGTTTTTGATTTTGGTCAGTATCAGATATTTTGTTATAAAGAAATTTATTTATCGACTATTGTACAAAATGCTTGTAGGCTGCAACCATTACATCATGCTCCACATGATTCAAATGGCAAACCATTACCAGTACCATTGATCAGAACCCCTCCTCCAGCTTTTTCCACATGTCTCACTTTTTTTCCCCTTCGCTTCCTACTAACGCTTCTATATCATCTATCCACCTTTTTTTTAGCACCCACTTCTTCTTCTTCATGGTCCTTTCCACTTTAAAATCCACCTTTTAACTGTGCATTGTGCTATATGCCCCGCCCATTGTCACTTTTGTTTTAGTCCAAATAACATAATATATTACCGTACAACCACTGTCAGTAATCGGCAAATAAGATATCTTAAGCCAAAAGGCAAAAAAAATCCTTTAGAAAAAGTCCGTTATACATCAAATATTATTTTTTATAACCGAGATGGGTTGAGGAATCATCGCGAGCACTTCACTTATCATGTTTGCAACACTGACTCATTGAAGCGCACCTGCTTTAAACACAGTTTATAGAAGTCAGTAGTTCAATAACATTGTTATTTTTAAATTTATTTAGAGATATCATATCACCAGACAGACTTTATAAGAATCCTACTAACGGGACGTGGGATTTCAATGAGTTGTGGACATAAACGCTAGCGGTTAGCAAGTAGGATATATAATTTATTTTATTATTATTTATTACTTAAGATGTCATGTAGAACATGGTGTAATGGTTGCAGCTCCTTACAAACGTTGTGCAAAACAAAAACTTGGCTATTAAAAAGTGGCGGAGAGTTTATTGCCAGTTCTTTTCTTCCGTTCTTCGCCCTTGATTTGAGAACTGGCAGTAAATATAAAATTAGAAGTATTTAATGTATTAGTAATTCTTTTTTTTAACGTTCATAAGTGTACCTACATGAAAAAATGATTTTTGTTTGTTTGTTTGTTTGAAAAGGCAACCGTGGACGGTGAAGTCGGGTTGAGTAGGCCTTCTCGTACATAATAGATGGACCAAATCCGGGGGGTACTAGAAAAGGGACAAGTTAAAAGAACCACATTACTGACGATCAAGCATGGTGAATGTCATGAAAGTGGATGAAGCGAGAGTTCCATGCTCTCTGCTTAATCCATCGAAAAAGGCGTGTATGTCTTAATACTTTAAGTTTGACTTTAATTTTAGTTTTTAGACATCTGATTTTTCACGCAAGATATTTTTTATTTGCTTTATGGCGCGTCTAACGGGCCATGTTTTAGATGCTTGATACATACACACTAGTGACCCGGCAAACAATCGATTTTTGCGCATGTATATTTTTCTAAGAAACATTGTTTTAGTTCAATAAATATGCCTGCTATAATAAAAAATAAGGTGGGTTGATCGTAGCGTATTTGAGGTGAAAATTAAGGGTTGTATGTATTTTTGTATTTTTTATCAAGACTTTTCTCACTCCCATTTTTCCCCCCCCCCCCCCCCTATTTAATAAAGTAAAAACAATTTTTTTTTTTTCTAAAAAATAAAAGCTGCTGCGACAAGGGTGTTTTCGTCCCCCCCTGTTGCCCGCTTTGTGTCCCCCCCCTGGGGGCCCCCCCCCCCCCCCCCCCCCCCCCCCCCCCCCCCCCCCCCCCCTTTTTTTCCCCCCCCCCCCCTGCTTAAAATATTTTGGTGCCGGGCAATAGACAGTCCCTTATCACTTAGCAAAACTCGGCGTTTGACCCCCTATATAGATAGTATCCAATTCTCAGACTAACTGAATCGCATGCCATAAAAATTCATAAGAAACATTGTTTTAGTCAAAAAATATCTGATATAATAAAAAATAGGGTTGAAGTCGTAGGGGATTAAGGGTTGTATGTATTTTTGTATGTTTTATCATAAAAAAATAAAAACAATTTTTTTTTTCTAAAAAATAAAATAAAAATTTAGGGAAAGACACCCTTATCACTTAGGGGTTTGATATATAGATAGTATCCAATTCTCAGACTAACTGAATATGCATAAAAATCATAAGTATCGGTCTAGCCGTTTCGGAGGAGTATGGGAACGAACATTGTGACACGAGAATTTTTTAATATATAGAGAAGAGATTAAGTTATGTTACTCCAAGTTTAAACATAAACTGTAAAAAATTTCATAAAATAAATTTCAGTAATTTTCTTAGTTACGAGAGCACTTAGTATAAAGCTCGTTATTACTGTTTCGAGGAACTCCGTTTTCACAATTGTTATACCAATTTGGTGAAAAACCATCTAGATTAACCTTTGTAGGTGTGGACGTAATGATGCGCCAGAAGAAGTCGCCATTTTAAATTATAAATGTATTACTGTAAGTTCCATACACTGTGCAGAGGCCATAATTGTACCACCAAAAACCAGGGGTCACGTGAGGTCATTGCCTACACGGTTTTTTCGTCCCTCACTTCGTAAATTAAGACATACATTGTCAATGGCGTAAGAGTTACATAGTTTTTGTACATACATTACGTATGTAATTACTAGAGGAAATGTCATCCCACACATTTCTAATTGTTTATTGATTTTACCATGAATAATATTAAAGATTAAGGTTTAAATGAAGTTAGAGGCCTAGTAGAGAGCTCTCAGAGGCCGGAGAGCAAAATGGTCGAAATAAGTCACTCAATGGACATTTCGCTACAACACCAAGTGGAGGAGAGGAAGACCATGTGCCCGGTGGGCTGATGACTTTAAAAAAAGCCACTGGTCCTCTGTGGCAAAGAATTGCCAGGGATAGGAAGCTGGAACTGGAAACAGTTGGAGGAGGCCTTTGTGCCACAAAGCAAGTGTAAAAGAGGACAGCTGTGCAACAAAACCTTCTTAAAGAATTTTTTTATATATACATATATATTTTTGTAAACTTTCTCTTGTATTAGTTGAAATAAAGGCTTTGAAATTGAAATATTGAAGATAATTTATAGACGATTTCATCAATGTTTTCGGTATCAAGCGAGGAAAAAAGCGGAATGTGGTATAATGGAATTATAAACTTATGAGAATACTGGTTGCAGAACAAGAAGTAGAATTTTCTAAAGCTCCTAGCTGGCTGATTCCGTCATCATAAACCTAATTGATATTGCACCTGAATAATTTTAAATTACTTAAAATATGAAATATTTTAAGTGGTGTTAGAAGTTTTATTGGACACTATTTTTCCGTCTTAAACGTCATGTTAAATAAAATATAGGCTGAGGAAACTGTTGTCATAAATTTTAAGACGAGTTCATCGGACGTCGAGGCAGAATACGAAATGCCACCCGTATCACCTCGACGTCCGCCGTTCCACAACTGAGCGTTTTTCAAGGCAGTTTTTGCCGCGCACCACCACATTGTGGAACCAGCTGCACACTGGGGTATTTCCGAACCAATTCGACTTAGGGTCCTTCAAGAAAAGAGCGTACCAATTCTTAAAAGGCCGGCAACGCACTCGCGTATTCTCTGGCATTGAGTGTCCATGGGCGGCGGTATCACTTAACATCAGGTGAGCCTCCTGCCCGTTTGCCCCCTGTTCTATATAAAAAAAGAGTACCAGATAACTCCTTGACAAACAATGAAACATTTGTAGAAATCTGAAGCCAAATCTGAACTCTTTATTTTATCAAAAATATTGTAGCGCCTCTAAAATAGTACATGAATGAGTTGCTGCAATATCGAAGATTGATTACAACAAAAACTTACCATTTAAAGGAGGCTCTGAAAGCGGCGGAGGTTCACTCTTCGATACGATCACTTCTTGTTCCTTATATTGGTTGTAGTTAACTTCATTGATTCCACTATAACCATCTTGATAAGCAGGTGATCGATCGACCTCCCTCTTCAAATTCAACATATTAGAAAATGAACTAAATACTGCACTGGCAACTTGTGGTAGAACAGTCGGTAACTGCGAGAAATTCTGCGCTATATCCGCTGTTATACTTTGTTCCTCTTTTTCCGGTTCATTTAAATTTATCTCTTCTAGATTTTCTTCTACCGGCAGATTAGCATTCTGATCTTCTTTTCTATTTAACGGAGCGCTTACGTATCTGGTACCTTGTAGTCTAGCGAAGTATTCGTTTACGTCGAAATCATCATCAGATTTCAGCGAAGCTTTTGATTGTGTACCTAATCCAATTTCTTTGAATTCATTATGTGTATCTAAGTTTATTTCAAGTTGATTTGATTTTGCGTCGCCAGATGGGTTTGATGGAAGGTTGGTGTTCGCCAGGGGTGTTGTTTGGGGCCCGTATTGTTTATCTGAAAATTAAAAATAATAATTAAATTAAAATGTCTAATATTAATTGATGAATAAAGAAGATAATTTTTAGCACTTTTTTTCTTTTTTTTTGTTTATTCCTTTATTTTACAAAATAATATAATACAATCATAATATGTTACATTAGAAAACCGCTGTGGTTTGTATAAATGTAACCATAGCAGTCTTGTTTAGGAGCGCGACAAATGCATATAAAAGTAGTTTTTTAATTTACTTTTTATGTTGGTTGGCGTTAGGCAATCTAAAATCTGATTGGGTAGACCATTTATTAGCCGCGGTAGCAAATACCTCAACGTTCTCTCGCCGTATACGTTATTTGCCCTCGATGTACAGAGCCGAACTTGCGTTACCGCTCGGGTCTGTACGTCATGCTCCACTCGTTTTTTTATGTCATCTCGAAAAAAGGTACTGTTCTTTTTACAACCCTATTTACAATCTTTTTATGTGTATTAATTTCATTATAAATGACACTTTCAGACAAAAAACACTTTCAAATTGACTGTGCTGACACAAATGAAGGTGACATAAATAGAAATCTCACGGAAAACTTTACCAACGAAAATATAGTAATTACTAAGAAAACAAGTGCCTAGTTATTTTACATAGGCATATGGGTCTTAGCTATAATCAAAACAAATCGTGTACACTTCTGAAGAAATTGAATATTTATTAGTACTTTAAATTTTTATGTACTTTTTTTTTAAAGTAATTATAGCAATAAAGGCTTTTATTATTATTAACCAAATAAAGCAACTATAGGTATTTACGAAGACTCATGAGCCTTCAAGAAAAGAACCTTCAAAAACCAGCAATAAAGCCTCTTAGCATTGCAGGTGTAATCACTTTTTGTCTTTTTTTTATGCATAGAAAAAATTCGAACATTGTGACAAAATACAAATTAATTGTGCCAACCCAGCTCTTCCGTAATTTATATGGAAATAAATAAATATGTATATTGTACGAATGGTAGACTATTTGTACGTTTTTGTGTGTGAATGTATAATGTTATATAATAGTCATTAAATCCTCCACTTATGAAAAAAAACTGTGTAACTCAAAATTTGCAGCCATTGGTATAATTATTGCTTCATCCTATGCAGACAAAGCGGGAAAATTTAACTCTGCTTACTTTTTTATGCATAATAGCTGATTGTAATTTAATTTTTTGAGCAAATCTAGTAGAGGTAATAACTGTAATAGAAGAACTTTTTCTGAATTCATGAACTTCATGTCAACTAGGAACAGGATAATCAAACATATAAAATCAATATATATTACTTTATTACACTGTCTATAAGTTCATTGAATAAAGGTCCATAATCAAGAGATACATTTTTGCACTCCAGATGTGCTGACCACGACGCTCAGATATGAGCTACACTGAACAGAGGGAGAGCCTTATCACCTAGGGTTATAAAAAAACTTCGAATTCACTACCTATTCTCATGTACCGACAATACACAAAAAACGTCGGTCCAGCCGTTTTGGAGTTTTTCGGGTCCACTCCCCTGCCATAGTGTCCAGAGACTTTATATACATGTTTACATGTTTGTTACTAGTTGCACATCGGTATTATTTAAAATGAGCCATGGACCCGTAACAAGAATTGTATACAAACAGATTTTCTACGCGACTGTCCTAGAAAGTAGTACAGTCAATCACAGATAACGACCTGAAGTAAGATCTACTTAACGAAGTGGACATGTCAATTAGGCACATTCTCTATTTACACATTTCTAATTAACTAGTATTTTATGTCTTCATTAAATTTTCTTTACTTGGTAACGCATTCTGCGTGTAACACGGAGGCTCTATAGTCTATACCCTACAAATTTCAATATGCTAATTTTTTTTTACAAGACAGGTGACAAATGAACAGAAGGGTCATCTAATGATAAGTGATACCGCAGCCCATGGATGCTCACACAGCCAAAAGGCTCGGAAATGTGTTGCCTTTAAGAATTGGTACGCTCTTTTCTTAAAGTACCCTAAGTAAATTCGGGAATACTTCAGCGGGTAGCTGGTTGTGGTGGTGGAAAAAACTACCTTAAATAACTCGCAGTTGTGGAACGACGAACGTCCGATGAGGAAATTCAGCTATTTGTCATTATTTAGAAGGCGCGGCTTCGTGTTGTTTTAGTGTAATTGAAATTAAAACGTTAAGGTCCTATCGCAGCACGAATTGCTGTGTCAGTGTCTCAGGGTGGACTGCGGTGCGCAATGGAGAGCTGGAGTACTGAGGCGCGCCAGCCCGTAATAACAATGAGTTATGTAAAACATTAAATTAATGTAATTTAAATACATTTTTTTCTGAAATGGATTATTTGGCTTGCGATAAAATATATCGTGTAAAATCTATAATCATGTTATATTTATACATTTTCGTGAATGAATTCAAAGTGTCAAAAATTGGCTATGTTTGGATTTTTAAAAGATCTAGATCTTGAAAATGGATACATTAACTACTCAACTCCACCATATATTTTTTCTATTCGCCCTACTTCAAAAAACAATGACGAAAAATGGAAAGAAACAATGTATTTTTTTGGAGTTTGGCGGATAGGTCCTTAATGCAAATCTTGTTACACTGAAAATATCGATTTAATGGCTATTATATAACATTACACATTCTCACACACATACAGTTAATGGTACTGGTTTCCAATGGTCAAACACGCTATTATTGATAATTGCCCGGATTTGTGATGGCATATGAGTCAAAACTGTTCGTACTTGAAATAGCCCAGTGGGCAGAAAATGGAGAACGGCCACCAGAAACATAGGAAAATAAATCCAAGGAGATAGAAGCAGGAAAAATATTGGAAAAGCGTTTGAAAAATGAAATGAAAAAGATGAGTGGAAGTTTTTGCAGGCATGGACCTTTTGGAGGTTGTTAACTAGTATTTAACATAATAACTTAAATTTATTATTTAAAAAATAAAGCAGTGGCGCTTCTACCTTTTTAGGTCTGGGCTGATATCTGTTTTTCAATCTAATAGACGAGTAGGTGATCAGCCTCCTATGTGTGATACATATCGAATTTTTGCATCTAATGCAAGCCTGTTTCCCCACGATGCTTTCTTTGACCCTTCGAGCGAATTTTAAATGCGCACATAGAAAGAAAGTTGATTAGTGCACAACCGGGGATCGAACCTCGATCGCGCGCTAAGGCACTAGGCCAACAACGTCAATGCAAAATTTATTATTACTTGTTCGAATAAAGGCAATTTTTTATTTATCACAAGTCAACACAAGCTTTGTCTCACATATCCATATATAGGAAATTTTACGCAAGTTCAGGGTATTTAAAGTAATTTCCACTAATACAACAAAGGAAATGGGAGCGGCGATTAGATTAACTACAACATGAATCATTTAGGTTACCGTATTGTCATTTTTTGCACAGAGCAGTGCTGCCCTAGTGGCTTCAGCGTGAGACTCTCATCCCTGAGGTACAGAAATCTGAGAACCTGAAAAGGTTGTAACGCTACTGTTTTCAAGTATTACGTTAGCACTATAGGGGGGAGGTGGGGGATCTTTGATTTTCTAATTTGGTGATTACGTCAAGAGTAATTAATCATTTTTCTACACAAATTATCGCTGGACATAGACGGACCACATGTTGCAGTCGAGACCGACTGCTGTAGAGCGGTCGCGTTGAAGTCGTACACGACTGCAACACGGCCGCATAATGCAGTCGACTACGACTGCTTGGAGCAGTTGTGTTCGACCGCAAAATAATACTGATGCGAGTTTATTTACAAGATGGAATTCGATGAAGAAACACTGCTACTTGTACTATTATTACGCAAGCGCAGGCGTAGAAGACACCGTAGTATGTGGGTGCGTCCAATACTACAAACAAAAGAACAACATAGAATATTTCATACTTTGTATCCCCAGCTTAGAGAAGACACTAAAATGTTTTTCAACTACTTTAGAATGTCCGTGGTTTCATTTGATGAATTAGTTAGTATTTTATTTTATTTGAGGGAGAAGCGCGCTCTCGGCTGCAACCGCTTGTAGCGGTCCGTGTATGGTGGGTCCGGCAGCTCTAAGCAGTCGACCGCACGGCGGAACTCGACCGCAGAGCGACTGCTCCGACCGCTCAGAAACTGGTTGTGCGGATGTATGGCGGATATGAATTTAGTATGGAAACTGCAGGTTGCCGAGCGGCGACCACTTAGAGCAGTCGGTATCGACTGCAACATGCGGTCCGTCTATGGCCACACTATGTCTATGCTTGAAAACGAAATGCATTTTCGAGGATTCCTACAAAAAATTAATAAGTTAATGCACTTTTACTTTGCTTACTTTTGCTGTCAAGAGGATGGTGGGGGATAAATTGTAGTAAAGCTGCTTACGCAATACATGAACTTCCCATTGCTCTTGACTCCTGATTTCCGTATCAGTTTCATGACGATATTTCTAATAGGCACGGTGGACTTGTGCCTGACACACGCCGTCAACTTTGATCTAAAGAATGTCTTCCTCGCGATGTTTCACACTGCATGAGTGAGGCTAAGATCACATGTAACGCGCGTTAACGCAGATCAACGCGCGATCAAATTTATAAAGAGTTCAGATGACAAGCGCTAACGCGCGTTGCGAATTGTGAAAGCTCGACAGTATGTTTCGATAGAGCTTAAAAAATGGACGTGGAAGAAGCTATTATTTTGTGGTTATATTACAAAAAAGTCTTCGTCGTTTTAATTTTTTTTTTATATGTTTCTGAAGTTATATCCCAAATCGCTGGCCTTTTTCGGACTTCATCAATATCAATATCTTGAGATTCACTCATTTTGAACTGAATACGAAAGCAAGTCACAAAAAAATTTTTACAATCGCGATGAAAGCGCGCGCTCAACTGAACAGTCAACAACAATTGTATTAAAATACCACAATGTCAAATTTTTGCCATCTGACTATAGCCTGAGTTTTGAATTCGGTCATGAACCTACGACTGTGGGGTTTATTTTATTTAAGCCACTAGGGCAAAACTAATCAAGGCTGTAGACTGACACCTGCTTGTCTTTAAATGCCGACAAGTTTTCATTACATCATATTACATAGCCAAAATCAACAAGACCTTGATGGCAAGGCAGAGCAAGTAAGTTTATCTGAGTGTAAAAATCGCGATACTGTTTAATGGTTATGTGTACCTAACATACGTATATATATATAAGAAATGAATGAATTCTTTTTAAAGATTTTTGATTTGAATTTTTGTTGTAGATGATTTTGTACGAAGATTTTATAATAAATATTAGACTCGCCCAGGCTTTGCCCGCCCCAAATTTTTTGGTTTTTTCCCTATTGTTAAACTTTCCCGGGGAAGGGGGGGGGAAATTTTGGGGGGGGGGGGGGGCCCCCCGGGGGGAGCTTTTTTTTTTTCCCCCCCCCCCTTTTTTTTTTTTTTTTTTTTTAAAAAAAATTTTTTTTTTTTTTTTTTTTTTTTTTTTTTTTTTTTTTTTTTTTTTTTTTTCCTTTCCTTTTTTTTGTTTTTTTTTTTTTTGGGTTTTTTTTTTTTTTTTTTTTTTTTTTTTTTTTTTTTTTTTTTTTTGGTTTTTTTTTTTTTTTTTTTTTTTTTTTTTTTTATATTAAATTATTATTTATTTGCAACATCATTTATAGTACATAGACGTATAAACTTTTTGTAGAAATCCTCGAAAATGCATTTCGTTTTCAAGCATATACAATGTGTGGGTAATATGTGTAAAAAAGTATATAATTACTGTTGACGTAATCGCCAAATAAAAAATTTAAAAAAACCCCCATGATGCTTAGGTAATACTTGAACGTCCCCCAAGGAATGACAAACGCGACAGTGGTAATGAACCAAGTACCATAAAAATAGATATAGAGAATATATACTATACATACCGCGGTTGCGGACCAAGGGTAAGAAGAGGGTGACCTTAAAAAAAGGTGGAAAGAGATGTAGACGCGTTATCAGGAAGCGAATGGAGAAAGAGAGCCATAGACAGAGTCAGTTGTAATAGGCTGGAGGAGGCCTTTACACGTGAAGGGGTTCCGATCAATGGTACTGAAGGAAGTTAGGATATTGTATATTCAAAGATTATTGTTTCGTTACAGGAAGCAAACGGGCAGGAGTCTCAACCGATGACTTGTGATAGCCCATGGTCGCTCGCACTGCCAGAAGCCTCGCCAGAGCGTTGCCGGCTTTTTAAGAATTGGTACTATCTTTACTTGAACGACCTAAGTCGAATTGGTTCAGAAATACTCTAATGGTTCCACATAGTGGTGGTGCGCGGCAAATACTGCCTAAACGCTCAGTTGTGGAACAACAGACGTCGAGATGATACGAATGGTATTTTGTATTCTGCCTTGACGTCCGATGATGAAGAATTGAATTGGAAAGACTATTGTAAAGATTGGAAATAAATGGGTTGTATTATTATGTTTGGTAACTGTTTATTTTAGCTCAGGGATCAATTCATGATCTTTTTGCACACGGGCCTAATCCAAGTGAACACAGTTTTTGGAAGGAGTTTCTTCTTGCGGTTGGTGAAGGGGGCGGGGCCGGAAAAATTTTTTCAAAAATGGTGGCGCCCCTTTTTTTTTTTTTTTTTTTTTTTTAACCCCCCGCCCCCCCCCCCCCCCCGGGGGGGTGGGGGGGGGGGGGGGGGTTTTTTTTGGGGGGGGGGGGGGCCCCGAACACGGGCTTTTGGGGGGAAAAAAAAAAAAAAAAATTTTTGAATCACAATGTTGGAACGAAGTTATCGAGCGTTGCGAAAGGGGGCCAGCCACAGTTTAACATTTAATATTTTTTATTGTTATATATATCTTTAGTTATAGCCGTCCATACCACGTTGAATACCCCGTTCTCCTCCAATCACGAAGTTAAGCAAGTTATGGGTAGAATTGGCTTTTTTTCGTAAGATTGGCATCGGGAAGCTCACCTGTATGTACAAAAAAATGGAATTTCGTTCCATCGGTCTCCCTAGTTAATTTTTTTGGGTATATATTATCTTGTAGGAATTTACGGTTCGTTATTCTTGCCGTACTTAATATAACTGCTTTTTGAGAGATGGTATAAATGGATTTCCGGAGGTGTAACAATTTTTTTTAGGGGGGGGGCCAGGGAAGCTGATGATACCGCCGCCCATGGACACTCTTAATGCCAGAAGGCTCGCGAGTACGTTGCCGGCCTTTTAAGAAAATCTATACTTAGCCCTAACTCGGAATTCGTAACCAACCACGCCCGTTAAAAACTGTTAAATCATATCTAAATCACACATAACAACGAAGCCTTTTTATCAAAATCTAATAATTACATCATAAACAAAATGATTTAACTAGTATACTATTAATTTTAATGCAACAATGTTCGTTCCCATACTCCTACGAAAGGGCTCGACCGACTCTTTAGAAAAATTTTATGCATATTCAGTAAGACTGGGAATTATTCAATCCCCTAAGTGATAACGGGTGTCCACTTCAATTTTTTTTTGTTTTTATAGTTGATACAGCATACAATTCAAATTTTTTAATATAAATAGTTATTTTTATTGAACTAAAAAAATAATTTCTTAGAAATAATATACATGACAAAACAACGTTTGCCTGGTCAGCTAGTAATACTATAAAATTTTTCTATACAATGTGAATTTAATAGTTTTAAATGTTTCTATAGAAAAGCGACGTTATAACAGTCTGAGATCATTCTGCAAATGGATTTTTCTATGCGCAATTAACACCTGCTCGAACCGTACACATCGTAAGGTAACATCGTGCGAACAGCTCTTACGTTCTGCTAGTAAATATATTTATGATGATCTGCTATTAATCGGCTAAGCTGTTAATTGAACGGCTAATTAAGTTAGTTGGCTGCGATATATATACAACTTTTGGACTTTATCTACTTCCCGACAAAAAAAGACCTGACACGTTCTAAAAGATCTGAATGATCCAATCCCGTAAACAATGACAAATTAAAAGCCGCCCGCGCAGCAAAGAATAAATAAAATCAGATTAGGGTAAAACACTGCCTCACTTCAAGTCCTGCCCCACAAGCGACTGACCAAGCCGAGGTCCGAGTCTCGCAGGAGACGACTGCCACTGAGGTCTCTTATCAGTCAGTGTTTAGACCGGTAGAGTATCCTTCCTTTACGTCGGAGGCAGAGCAGCACCTTCCTTCCTCGACAAAATAAAACCCTAGGACATACTGATAAACAAAAGGACATCGGTAATTTTTCACAAAATCCAACCAAGCAGTAGGCAGCATTATATTCAATATATTCACTATATCAAATTCTCAACTCCGTGTGACTGATCACAATTCCTGAACAGCACTGGAATCCGCTGATATCCGTTCAGAAAACTTGATTTATCTAAAACATTGTCTTTTCACAATTTATCACATAATTGGTTAAAAAATATAGTTTTTTTTTATAGAAAAGGGGGCCAAGACCTGCTGTTAAATAATGGACCGCCCATGGACACACACACTGCCAGAGGGCCGGCCTTATAATAATGAGACAATCTTTTCACTCGAATTGTTTCGGAAATACTTTAATTGGCATATGCTTCCACATAGTGTTAGATGTTGAACGACAGGAATCAAAAGGGGGAAAAGAAAGAAAAGATTCAGAAATATTCCATCGCCATTGTTACCACCAACACGCCTGCAAACGAATGCTGTTGCTTATATGCCAAGATAAGCACGTTACTACCAACACAAAGAAACAATTAACATTTTTAATTTGATGTAATATTTGTATAAATAATGTGCGCAAGAGATAACGCAACTGTACGTGCCGATCGAGACTGGTCGATTACAAATGTTTTCCAATTTACTTCCAAGGGAAGGTTAGGTAATGTTAGGTAATTATTTAAATATAGTTTTAATCTCACAAAACTAAACGTTCTCAATACTGGTTTTAACATATTTTTGTACTAAGTTATTTGGTATTAACGGCGTGATTTAAAAGTATTTGTAAAATATCACGTAAACTGCTGTCTGACGCAAGTCGTTGAATCTAAAATTATCGTAGCTTAGCGCATATGTCTAATATATAAAATTCTCGTGTCACAATGTTCGTTCCCATACTCCTACGAAACGGCTTGACCGATTCTCATTAAATTTTGTGTGCATATTGGGTATGTCTGAGAATCGGACAACATGTATTTTTCATCCCCCTATATGTTAAGGATGGTCCCACCCCTAAATTTTTATTTTTAGACAAAACTTTTTGGCTTCTATTTTTTTATTATATAGCATACAAAAATACATACAACCCTTAATTGTCACCCGTCTATCATCCACCCCTATTTTTTATTACAGTAGATAGTTATTTTGATTAAACTAAAAAAAAATTCTTAGAAATAATATACATGGCAAAACAAACGATTGCCGGGTCAGCTAGTATAGTATAGTAGCAGTCCTTCAGGCCGTCATTTCTCGAGCAGCCCAGAACCGCAGGTTTTGATTGAGGTTGAATGTCATGTGGAACATGGTGTAATGGATGCAGCTCCTTACACAATGTAAAACAAAAAACTTGGCGATTAAAAAGAGTGGCAGAGAGTTTATTGCCAGTTCTTCTCTTCCGTTCTACGTCCTTGATTTGAGACCTGGCAGTAAATGTAAAATTAGAAGCATTTAATGTATATTTCTTTTTTGACGTTCATATATGTACATTGTGTTACCTATATGAATAAATGATTTTGATTTTTTTTAATGTCTTGGCGAACCCCGAGGGCCTATCTTAAGGGCGTGTGGAGGGCTGAGTTTAGTGGGTAGAGTCTCGCTACCCCTCCGAATAACAGAGGAGTGTAGACTCAACCCCACAGTCCCCGCGTCAAGCTGGACATCAAAGGCATGTAAGGCCTGCGCCAGCGCATTTTCACCTCATTCAATACAAAGGGAGTCTATCGTCGTATAAAGTAGTAGTAATTGTGATATCTCTAATCTCTCTTTTGACATAGGGAAGTTGTACTAAGC